AAAAGAAGTGTATCTGACTGACCATTAAGTACATGAAATAGCATCATCAGTAATCAGAGCAATACAAAGTAAAACCATGACGAGACCCCATTACTCAGCAACCGGAGCAGGAAACACAGAAATGACCAGCACCATCAGGTTTTGGCAAGGACTTGGAGCAACGTGAAGCCCACATGCTTCTAGCAGGCAGAAGAAACAGTTCATCCCCTTGAGAATACAGATTGGCTTCAACGTATGTGTTACACCTCCACTAGCCAATAACCATCAACTTCACTATTATTTCCAATGTGTGTTTTTTTTGTTGTTGTTGTTTTTTGCGGAACCGGGGATTGAACTCAGATCCTTGTGTTTGCCAGTCAAGCGCTTATCCTACTGAGCCATCTCCCTGGCCCTTCACTATTATTTCCATGAGGAAAATAAAAATATGTCTGCATACATACAACAAACATGTATGTAAATCGTACAGTAGACTCATTCATGTAAGTCCCAAACACACACTAAAAGGTGGTCATAAAAGCAAACTGTGGTATATGAAAACAATGAAGTGCCGCACAGGCATTTAAAAAGAATGACCAGGCATGCTGGTGTACGCCTGCAATCCCAGCACTTGGCGGCTGGGGCAGGACAGTTATGAGCTTGAGGCCAGCTTGGGCTAAGCAGTGAATTCAAGGCCAGCCTGCACTACATAGTAAGACGCTGTCTCAAACAAATAAATCCCTCCCAAATAAAAACAAACTACTAACATGTACAATAAAACTGATAACCTTCAGTTAGGCACACAGTGTTGAGTAAAAGCCAGACACAAGAGAGCATGCTGTATAATTTCATTTATGCATTTTCAGAACACAGTAAACTAATTTATAGCAAGAAAAGAGAGTTCAGAGGTTTCCTGGAGTTGAAGGAAGCAAAGACTAACTGGAAACGAGGAGCCAGATTGTCTCTTTTACTCTTCTCTCATTGCTGGGACAAATGCCCGACACTCAAAATGAAGGAAGGGAAGGGTTATCCAGCTCACAGTCAGCGGAGGTTTCAGCACACACTCAGCTGGCTCCAAGGCGGAGCAGCGCAGGCGGAGGACAGCCTTTCATGGTGAAAAGGCGGCAGGAGAAAGAACAGAGCGCAAAATGGTGGAGTAGCAGCAACAATGGCAACAGAGATGTGGGAGCTGGATACACTGGGCCAACTTGAGAAGCTGGAAGCTTGGCTGGATCCCCTTGTCTAATCCACACCCTGGGGCTTGGGGGGCTCGCCCCAGGGTGGGGAGGACACGCCCCAGAGTGACTCAGCACAAGAAGGACACTTCAAGGAGGTGAGGAAGGCTTCTGCCCTCCCGCTTCCTTGGAGAAGTCCTGGTCTTTGTTGCACCACTTTGCAGCTGTGTCATTCTGGAGGAGCTTGATCTTCGCAGCTACCCACTTCAGAGGGGCTCGATCTTCGCGGTGGAGTTCCAGTCTTCACAGTCAGTGTAGAAGGAAGGGAGAGGGGTTTGATAGATACCACAACTGCTGTTCCTTCCTCCACTCTCTGCTGCCATGAACTGCTTGCTGCCTTCTGCCTAGAAGCCAGCCAAGTATGGATTAACACCTCCACTAACTGTGAGCTAAATAAACCTTTCCTTCCTTCATTTTGGGTGTTGGTATTTTTGTCCCAGCAATGAGTAAAAAGTAACCAAGACAAGAGAACAAGTCTGTCTCCCTTAAATTGCATTCAGGCCAACTGCCCCAGGCTGGGTACAGCACTGACATGCGCAATCCCAGTGGATCATGAGTGAATCACAAACTTTAGAAGTCTGTTCCCTCACGGCATGAGCCTTTGGGGAGACAACTAGCCACAAAGCATAGCACACCTCTATGGGGTATGCGGACTCTACCAGGGAGAAACTTCATGAGGGGAACATTGGGCTGCTCTGCTTATTATTCTTATAATATTTTATGAGTCTGAATTTTAAAAATTAGTTCTTCAAAAGGGGAAAAAAGGGAACTTTTGGGAGTGAGGCTAATAAAATATTTGATTATGTTATAAAACATG